ATGGCCTATGCATGGGTATGATCGAAGATCGATCACGCAATATCCCATCGCCGCCTACGGGTGGCCAGCCTCGGGCCGCGCCTCCGCCTCACTTTGTCGCGAGGCCACCTCAGCACCGGTCGGGACCGTCGCAGTCGAGGCAGAGGTCGAACAGTAGAGAGTCACATGATCCGCCCGAGGCCAGTGGGGGGACGATGGGTATGATGCGTATGATGATGGACAGCATCGTGGTTTCTCTTCCACGGGAGGAGGTCGTGGTTATGCCTGGCAGAGTGATAGGTCTGTTGAGAGACCGTTTCTCCAGAAGATTAGTAAGACCATGCATCGCTGATTTTCATTCATTTGGCCAAGCGAGTTGAGGAGCCACTCCTTGCTTGAGTTCAGAAAAGATTTCAGCGCTGGAATTTGCCACAAAGTGGTCATCTGCTCATATAAGTCCCGTACAAATTGACACCTAATGAACGGGTGGAAGTTATCTTCCTCCTCTATCCCACATACAAGACATATACTGCTCAACTCCAAACCAATTATGTGTTTATTCTTCCAAGTAGGCAGTGAATCAATTGACAATCTCCATGTGAAGTTTCGTACTGTTGGGGGGACGCTGCATTTCCATATATATTGCCAACACGAACGCCTACCATCCGGCGCCGAGCTAGAGGACACAGTTGTAGCCCTATTCGCCTCCTCAAACGCTAGATTATATGCCGACTTGACCGTAAACGTGCCACATTTCTCAGGACCCCATGCAATGACGTCGTCCCCAAGCCTAGGGGATGCTCGAATTTTCAGGATTTCCTCTATGTCCGCAGGTAAGAAGGATCGCTGTAGCACCTCCAAGTTCCAGGATCCATTTTCATTTAGCAGCCCAGCAACAAACCGAATACGACACCGACCTTGTTGCGATACTGGCTTGTAGGAGTATGGTCTCGGAATCCAGTTATCTCTCCACACCCGAATATTACGCCCGTTCCCAACTCTCCATATCAGCCCTTTCTTCAAAAGATCAAGACCATGAGATATCGCAAGCCATGAAGAAGAGGCATTACCTGAAAATACTGTGTCCACCAAATTGCCAGAGGGGTAATATCTCGCTTTCAACACTTGCGCACACAAACTTTCAGGTTTCGTCAACAAACGCCACGCCTGCCGGGCTAGCAAAGCTTGATTGAACATCCGGAAGTCCCAGAAACCAGCACCCCCTTTGCTTTTAGGCTGAAGCAAATGATCCCAGCCTCTCCAGTGGACCTTCCTCTTTCCTTTAGAACCCCAGTAGAAGTTCCTTACCATCCGTGTCAAGTCATCACACACAGAGAAGGGTAGCTTGAAAACCCCCATGATATACGTTGGCAATGCTTGAGCTACTTCTTTAATCAAGATCTCTCTTCCTGGTTGCGCCAAGAGGCCGTCACCCCATTGGATCAGACGCTTGGTAAGACTAGTTTGCAGATTCTGAAATTTCCCTTTTGACATACGCCCCTCGGGGGTTGGGAGGCCCAAATACTTTTCTTCAAACACCGTCGAAGTGACAGCCAAAACACCTCGCACTTGCTCTTGTACCGCCCCTGGACATGCAGCACCAAAAAATATCGAGCACTTATTGAAGTTCAAACTCTGCCCCGTAGCCCTCTCATACATGATCAAGGCCGCCTTAACATTTTCTGCTTGTTCACTAGAAGCCTCAAAGAACAGCAAAGTATCGTCAGCAAATAACAAATGTGAAATACCCGGTGCTCTTCTGCATACCTTCACTGGTGTAACACTGCCTGCTGAAACCTTACTCTTTAAAATTGCCGATAACCCATCCGCAATGAACAGAAATAGGAATGGAGAAAGGGGGTCTCCTTGCCGAAGCCCACGCGACGGTGCAAATGAATCCAAGAGGGTCCCGTTTAATTTAACACGATATCTCACCGATGTGACACACGTCATAATCCAGTCAATCCATCGCTGAGTGAAACCACGCTTTTGCATCACCTGCTCCAAGAAAACCCAATCCACTCTATCATAAGCTTTTGACAGGTCCAGCTTATATGCACAAAAACTCTTCGTGGGATCTTTCTCCTGTTTGATATAATGTAAACACTCGAAAGCCACAAGAGAATTATCCGTGATCATCCGACCTGGCACGAAGGCACTCTGTTCTGGAGAAACAAGAGTGTCTAGGAGGGGCCTAAGTCGATTCACCAAGCACTTCGAAATCACCTTGTAAATTACATTACAAAGACTGATGGGCCTATAATCAGAAATCTTTGCAGGGTTAGAGTTTTTAGGGATCAACACAATGGATGTAGAGTTTACCCCTTCTGGCATGATTCCAGTATCAAAAAAGTCCTTAACCGCTGCAATCACATCATCTCTGACAATGCTCCAGTTCCGCTGAAAAAACATCGCGGGGAAACCATCTGGCCCTGGCGCTTTAAGTGGCCCTATTTGAAACATTGTGTCAGATATCTCTTTATCAGAGAACGGCGCACAAAGTTTAGCATTGTCCTCGTCAGTCACCATTTGCTCCAATAAATCAAGGACCGGGCCTGGTACAAGTGTTGCGTCCACTGAGAAAATCTCGTGAAAGTATTTATTTGCAATCTCACTCATCGCTGCAAATTCTGAGTGCACCACACCAACACTATCAGTTAATTGTCTGATTTTGTTTTTCCGTGCCCTCCATACCGCCTTATTCTGGAAGAACTTTGTATTTCTATCCCCTTCTTTCAGCCATGAGATTCTCGATCTTTGCAGCCGCATCATCTCTTCTTGATAAAGCAACTCATTCATTTTATCTGTCACCCTGTGAATATCCTGTTGATCCGCATTCATGTGCACAAGTTCCTCAAGCTGGGATCTGGATTTTGCAAGCTCCCTTGTAACATTACCGAATTTCCTACCCCATCGACCGAGTGAGATCGTTGTTTTTGATAGGGCGTCACGCAGCTGGGCTAGGTTGCGTACACCCCCCACCGTGTCCCATGCCTCCTTGATCACCTCTGGCAATGTTCCATCAGACTCCCAGAACAGTTCATACCGCCTCGGTCTAGCACCCATCGGCCCTTGGTCGGCCGATGCTTTGAGCAATAACATTATATGGTCTGAACATGGTGAAGGAATATGTGAAACAACAGAGAAAGCAAACAGGTTCCTTCACATGTTTGTAGCTACCGCTCGATCCAGTCGAACCCGTACATTATTTGCAGCAGCTCATTTATTGTCGTAGGTAAAAGGTACCCCTACGAAACCGAGATCCACCAAACCACATACCTCCAAACAGTCCCGGAAAGCAACCATTTGAGTTTCAGCTCTCGGGGTCGCCGACATATGTTCAAAGTCCCACATAGCCTCATTAAAATCTCCCACTACTAACCACGGTAAGTCACTCGTGGTTTTCAGGTTCTGCAGCTTTTCCCACATAATATGTCTATTCTCAACCCTCGGCTCTCCATATACACAAGTGATCCTCCATTTTTCTGCGTTTTGGTCTACCTGCACCTGAGCATCAATATAACGATCGATTTTGTCAAGGATCTCCACCACATACGACTCATGCCAATACAGAGCCAACCCACCACTCATGCCTGCACTATCCACACCACAAAACCCCTTCAGGCCGAGACGACCACGAATCCTCCTCATCTTTTCCGCCTTTTGCCTAGTTTCACATAGACAAACCAAATTGGGGGAATGCGACTGGCAAATAGTCGCGAGCTCACGAACTGTCCAGGAATTCCCCCCTCCCCGGCAGTTCCAGCTGAGTAGACTCATTGGGCTCGGCGGTCCTCCAGCACGGAGGCCGCCTCATCAGACATTATTGAATCAACTCCATCAACCTCTCCTCCCTGCTTCCTCCTTTTTACTATCGGCACCTTCCCTGGTGTTGCATTGCTTACACCACCACAAGCTGAAGTATCCGCAACTACTGCATATTCTAGCTGCAAAACTGTATTTGAGACTTTGCCTACCAGGTTTGGGACCTCCTGGCCTCTCACATTAATAGACCCATCAACATTTATCAATCTTTTCTTGATATTCTTTCCATCCTCGCCCAACACCGAATTGTCAATGGGTGCCGCTTGCCCCACGCTGCCTTGCCCGCTTACTGGTGCCTGCCCACGGCCACCTCTACCACCGCCTCCACCACCATCTCCTCTCCCGCCTCTCCCTCTTGCACCCATAGATCCACCTCCTCTCCCTGAACCCATCCAGCTCCCTCCTCTATCGCCTCCACCTGCCCCAGATAGTTCATTAGTCCAGTGTAGCCAATCTCCCCACTCGCACGAAGCAGGTTCATTTATGCCATCACCACATTCTTCCACTACATGCCCCATACGTCCACAGAAAAACAAAAAGCTGGGAGCTTCTCATATCTAACTGGATACTTCTTCCTCTCTTTCAATGTGATTGGCACAAATCTCACCAAAGGTTCATCCACGTTCACGAAAACTCTTACTCGAAGATGACTAGAAGGGTTAATCCTTCCTTCATTAACAACCACTTAAAGGGAGCCTTTCCCACCTTCTTTGCCACCTTCTCCGCCAGCTCTTTCTTCCGTGTGAGGCCGTCCGGGAGGCCTTTAATACGTGCCCATAGCGGATACATGTCCAGTGCATACTCCGCCACATCGGTGAATCCATCATATTCAACAAGAACCATTGGATCCCTTCGAAACTGCCAAGGACCTCCCTCCATTACCCTCTTCCAGTCTCCAAAGCAGTGGCATTGAGCCAAGAACAGATTCGGCCCCTTGATGTTGAACGTGACTCCACTAATTCGAAAGGAAAATGAAAAAGAAAACTACCACACAAAAGCTCATTGTGGCTTCACTAATTCTCAAACCTCAACTTTTACTAAATTGAACAAATCGATTACACACTTTCAAGAATCATAATTCGCACATGTTGAACGGATCGCAAACGTACTATCGTTCGCGATCGATGTTCAACAGTTCAAGTAGCTATCCTTAGAAAAACGTTAAAAAAACAGTTCAAGTGGCTGTTACAATCATATTAGTTGTTCCTTTGGACGACCTGGAGCTTGACACCGTTCTTGAAGTTGGTGACGATGGAGAACTGCAGCTGCAGCGGGGACTCCATTCCGGGCGAGTGCCTGAAGACGTAGCGGCGGTAGAGGTGGATGACAGTGAGCTTGAGCTGCTGGAACGCGAACTTCTGCCCCGGGCACGCCCGCGGGCCGATGCCGAAGGGGATGTATGCGTAGGGGTGCCTGCGTTTGCACTCCTCGCTCTCCGGGTCGAAGCGCTCCGGCCGGAAAGCTTCGGGCTCCGGGAACTGCTTCGGGTCCCTCCCCAGCACCGCCGTCGCCAGCCACACCCACGTCCCCTTGGGCAGGAAATAGCCTCCGATCTCGACGTCAGCGGTCGCCTCCCTCGAGACCACCGGGGAGCCGGGAAAGTATCGCATCGTCTCCTTGAGCACCTGCTCCAGGTAGGGGAACCTGGTGCGGAGGTCGTCGGCGTCGGGCACCACGTCCTTGGGCCCGAACGCGTCGATCTCCTGGAGCAGCTTCTCCTCCACCTCCCGGTGCGCCGACACGAGGTAGACCAGGCTCGACAGCGTGAAGGACATGGTGCCGGAGCCCGCGAGCAGGTGCTCGTAGGTGAGCGCGCTGACGTAGTCCGGCGTGAAGAGCTTCCTCATGGCGTCGCTGGTGTCGATGCCGTTGAGGAGCACGGAGAGGAAGTTCTTCTGGCCCCGGTCGGCCTGCGCCGCCCGCTCCGCCACGATGGCGTCGAGCTCCCCGCTGAGCGCCGCGTTGGTCTCGTCCATCCGCCGGTCCATGGAGCCCGGCACGCGCAGCATCATCTGCCGCAGCGGCCTCTGAAGCGCCGGCAGGAAGGTGCCGACGAGCATGGACAGCGAGCCGGACAGGTCCATCTTGAGGGACGTGGTGGCGTACAGGTGCTTCTGGATGAAGTCGCGGGGCGCGTCATGGATGATCTTCTCGTTCTCGGCGTCGTCGGCGTCCTTGGTGAGGCCGAAGTCGACGCCGAATGCGGCCTGGCCGATGACGTCGTTGAAGAGCCTGATGGAGAGGTCGGAGAAGGTGATCTCCTCGCCGGGGCAGAACAGGCTGCCCGCCCGCTCGATGTAGGGCTGGATGGCCGGAATGAGGCTCGCCAGGTGCGACGGCTGGTAGATGGAGATGATCACGTTCCGCATCGCCTGCCATGTCGAGCCCCTGCACATACACGCGGTTAATTTATTAATGGGTGTGGCTAGGTCTGAGTCGACTAAGATTTAATCAAGTCTCAATCAAATGACATAACATGCAAAAAAGAGTAAGGCTCAAAGAAAAAACTGAAAAAAATCTCAATGTAAGATCTAATAGGATCGACTGAGACTTCGTTAATTATCAGTCGATTGAGACTTCGTTAATTATCAGTCGACTGAGACTTAGCAAGACTGTTTATTTACCATCACGTAACATAGACCAGGTGTGTTAATCTGTAGTATACGTACTTGGTGAAGAGGAGGCTCTTGTAGTGGATGGGCGAGTTAGCGATGGTGACCGGGACGCTCCTGTCGACGATGTTCTTGAACTTCTTGATGCCGGCCTCCCTGCACAGCTCCGGGGACCCTGGGCAGGCGCCACGACGGCGCGTAGAAGTACACGGCGAACGCTCCGGCGGCCATGGCCACCACCGTGAACAGCATCGCCGGGAACGACGGTGGCGAAACCACTTGGCTCCACAGTAGTGCTGCTCCCGCCCCCTCCATTGTTGAGTTGCTTACCTAAGCTTGGTGAGTCTTATCCGGCCGTGGCCTCTTTCTTGGTTGGAGACAAATGGATGAAAAAGATGTGCTGGATCGCGTGGCCATGGGAGCACTTATATACACATACGGCGTAGTAAGTTGTGTGATTATTTTCTTTCCTTTATGATTGCCAAATTGGACTTTTCTCTTTGGGAGCATTCAGCCGATAAATGGCAATTTCGGGGAAAGAAACGCATGAAATTTTCCATGATCAGCTGCACGTGGCCGTAGAATAGAGAGAGAGCGATGCTCAAGTCATCGGGCCCTACGAATGCGGTCGTAACACGTCGTGACTCGTCAGTAAAGAGTGTTTTTTTCTTTTATTCTATCATGCATGTGAGATTCGTCTGTCACATTTTTTGGTTTCTGGAAGCTTGTCTTGTTTAAGATCATTACGGAATGTCGAGTTGGTTTTATGTTTCAAGGTGTATCATCATATCTCGTTGTGTATTAGCAAATCTGCTGTGAAAGAAATGCACTATTAGAGCATCTCCATTGGGCCCTTCAAGACGCCCCCCAAGCCATTTTTCGAACGCTGACGGGCAAAAAATGCCTCACTCATACACCCAAGTCTTTATTTTTTACCAGATTTAAAAAAAATATAGCTCCGACGATCTCAGGCCACACCCAGCTCATCGGGAGGCACTTGGGGCCGCCGGTATTACTTTTTGCATGGCTAAACCCACGGGCCAGCCTCTCCCCCCTCCTCCCCCCTCCTTTCTCTGCAAGGCCACCGCATGCAAAACTATCTCTCCTCTTTCTCCCTCCTGCCGCATCCTGCTCCTCGCTCTGGCTAGAGCTTGCCACCCCGCCTCCTC